ATTGTTTGGCGGCTCCCAACTTCCAACTTTATGCTTGTGAATTTGACGCTGAAGGCTGCGTTTCTTGTTGAATAGTGTACTCCTCCTCTGTAATTTCACATGAACTCTTTCAGAATCCTCTTGATTCTTCCTGAATTGAGATTCGTTATCAAGATAGCCGTAGCTGAAGCGCGCGCAACCAACTGGGCCCACTCTGGGATGCGCCGTGTGCTTCACATCTCGTTGGATTTGAGGACCTACTTGAAAGATAAAATATCCCTAGAAAACGTGCGAATTTCGGATTCTTTAACTTGTGTGGTGATGAAACACTGAAGTAACTAAGAATTGCTAAGCGGACACCTCTAAATCACGAAGATTTTGTGTGGACGGAATCAATTGTTATTGGAAATACTCTGGCCTGGTATCGATTCGATCCTTAATGTTTGTCCTCCGACGATGATCCTACTGTATCAATCGGGCCCGATCTCTCCCCAGCGGGCCAATACGACCCCCCCCCCTCTGTGACATGTCGAGGATTCCTCAACGCACGCTTGACCCTGGCGGTGCGGTTAGATGACGTCATTGATCGTCACTGGTGGTTCTTGAGAGCGCTGGGAGTGTAACGGAATCCGTCTTTTAGCGGCTCCAATGACGTCATCAAAACCGCACCGCCCTCCAGCAGTCAAGGTTACTGCTTTCAAGCTGTGATTGCTGGTTATCACTTTGTCCCTTTCGCGGAAACCTCCGTTTATCGCAATTTCACATTCTTCCTAATGAAAACAAAATTAATAATAAAATCAATAAAAAATAAGGTTAGGCAATGGAAGCAGTAAATGTGATAAAAAAGGGGTAAAAGAAAGTCAGAAAATTGAACAAAAAAAAGCAAAAGCTCTTCAACTAAAGGTGCCGTTCCTCCCTTACCCCCTATTAGCTGGACGACCGTAGTGGTAGCAGTCAGCATATGTCAGCATTCTGGAAAAGCTGCGCTTTGCGCCTGCCCCGTGGTTCAGTGAACAGTGCGCTATTTGCAGGCATCGCTACCTGGACCGTATTGGAGGAGGTTGCAGGACGGTTTTTGATGGCAATAATTTCGGGGTTATTTTCCTTCTATTTTTGAAAGAGTTCTCCACAACGCCTGCTCACAACACAATTTGGTCCTCCCACCAGTGATGAATGAAAAAAAAAAGAATTTTGTCAAAATCCTAAAGTAAATAAGATTTGAACCTCCAGATGCTTTGTAAGGGGCACATCTGGCCCTGCCCTAACCCCATTTTGTGATTGATTCCGTTGATTCCAGCTAATCCGCGCATCAGCTTAGACATGAACCAGGAACTATATGCTTCATGAACAAAGATGGAGTGATGGGATGGAACTGTTCGAGTAGCGATAGGTTTAGTCGCGGCTCAGTGGCTAGTGAAATAGGCTCTTACGTGAAGGGTCGGGGTTCCTTCCTTAGACGCGGCAAAGTTTTGCCTTGGAGAGCATTCATTGCTACGTTCTGTATGCTCGTCCGGGTTCTCCCTCTTTATAGATCGTCCCTTTACAACCTGTGTCGTGTAGGAATCAGGAAAATTCAATGGTGAAACGGTCAAGGATGCTAGCACTGAGAACGCGACCGGGTAGGCCGCTGATTGATCGGTGATACGGTCCATAACAAAAAGGCACATCGCTCATCACATTTCCCGCTCCATCTGGCCTACAAGGGATGGCATATCGGAGTGGCTTTTTAGCATGTGATGTCCTCCTGATGGGGTTTTTGAGGCTCAATATTTAGGTATATGTCCTCCAATATTCTGGACCAGTACAGGATACGTAACATCTAGCGGGCCATTTGGATGCGACACCCTGACTCGCGGGACACCGGTCCTAATGGGAACCAGAATAGGTTCCCATTGGGACCGATGGGTCCCGCGAGGCAGGGTTTCGCATCCAAATGGATCTGGACTGCGCATCAAGCATGGTGGTCCGCATCAGATGCTTGATCTGGTAGACTCAGCACACCGCTGGTTCTACCGGTTAAATATCATTTTTCGGCAGAACAGCCAAATTTTTTGAAAGTGGCTCCAGCGGGACCCGAGGTGCGTCTCACTGAAGCCCCTCTCAAGAAGTGCCAGGAGCGCACCACTGGTATTTTCGACCCAATATCTGGGAAGAGCGTCAAGTTTT